CCCGCCATCTCCCTCTCTGGAGTCTTTCTGCAGCCTATTCCATCCCCACCCCTGGAAATGGTCAGCCAGGAGCTGGAAAACCTCTGGCTGGGAAAGGGGCCAGATCCCGGAGACCCCTCCCCTGCCTGCATCCCTTCTGATCGCAGGTTAGGGCTGGGAATGTGCTCAGACATGTGCAGAGAGCCAGGCTTGCACACTCCTTCACACAGGGACTGTCACACACAAGCCCAAAACCAGACACTCTGGGACCAAAGTTACCCTGGGGGTGAGGAGGGGACGCCATGCTGAGATGGCCCCTCGGAGAGGCTTGGAGAGGCACAGGCAGTTTCACAGAGCACCAAGCGTCAGTGGAGGACGCTCTGCCTCCATGAGGGGAGCTGGGGCTCAGGTGCAGGTGTGTGAGCAGGAGGCGGGACCCTGCCTTCTGTCCCTTGTGCTGCCATCTTGAATCTCTCTAGTTCAGCTGCATTCTCTGTCTGTTTCTCTCTCTGTCTCTCGGCCTGTCTCTCTCGTGCACACACACGTGAGGAGGATGCACCCATTAAAGCAAAGTAGTGAAATGAGGCCACGCCCACGTCCTCCTCAGCTGTCTGGCCCACCCCACAGTGTTTGCTCCTTGCCCAGGATAACAAACCCTAACTCCCCTTCTCCCTCTGCCTTCCCAGAGCCCTTGTCTCCCAAACTGTCTCCATGTGTCATCCTTTGAGAAGACCCAGGCAGCCCTGCTCCCACCCACTATACGGGCTGGAGGCTCCATGAGGTTCTCCTGAGCCCCTCCCACCCCCAATGAGCCCCTCCCATGACCCCCATGAGCCCCGTTATAAGACCAAGTGAGCCTGGAGACCCCACAATCGATATTCCTCAAAGATAAAGACACTAATAACTCTATCCCTTCTTGTCTTCTAACTCTCGCCTACATTAGCTCTGACCACAGGCCCCAGGCAGCTGGGACCTGCAGTGGGGGGGCCTGGAGCTGACTAACCCCTTCAGATCCAGGTAGGAAGCAGGAGGGCAGATAGCAGGAAGGACTTCCTGACACTCAGGAGTGAGGCCACAGAGGTCAGGGAGAGAAAGCCTCGGAAGCATGTTTCCCACTCCTGGATAGATGCATCAGAGACCTGACTAAGAGTCTATGAGGATGTGTGACCTCGGAAGCACCCTATGGGGTTGCCAAGATCCATGCCTAATCCATGAGGGCTGCCCAGAGGAGGTGAGCTAGGAAGCAAGTTCCCACTGGGAAAAATTAAGGAGTCACGGGACTAGAGTGGATGAGGGTGATCAGAGGGGCACTCTGGCCCTGCCCTCCGTGGGAGGGGGGCTCTTCCTCCACAGGGTCTGCTGGGGCAGCCAGAGACCTGCAGCCCACATTTCAGAGGGAAGGAGCCCTCATCACTTCACACACCCCACAGCCAGGCAAGTCCTCTCTGGAGCAGCTGCTGCTGGAGGGGGCAGTTGGGATCAGGGGACACGAGCCCTATCCCCCCAAAACAGACTCCTGCCTGCCTGCCCTCCCCCATCCCCAAAGTCCAGGGCAAGGGCCTGGACTGGGAGTAGGACAGAGAAGAGAAGGAAAGCAGAGGAGGAGGAGTGGGGAAGAGTGATAAAAACAGCAAACATTTACACAGCACCTGCTACAGGCCAGGCCCGGGCTACAGCTTTACACAGGAGACTTGTTTAAACCTCATAACAATTCTGTGAGGTTAGTGCTATTATTATCCCCATTTTGTAGAGGAGCACACTAAGGCACAGAAAGGTTGAGTAGCTTGCTTGACATCACACAACTGGTAAGTGCAGAACCAGGCACCCTGACTCCAGAATCTAGAAGCTTCACCTCCAGGGAACCCAGCCCTGGAAGAAGAGGAAGGGACCCAGTTTAGCAGGAGGGGGGCTGATCAGAGGCAGGGCTGAGTGCTGCCCTGGGGCCCTGCTCCAGGACCATGGGCTCTGTCCTTCTGCCCCTGAGCTCTCCTTTTCCCTTGCCCTCTGCACGCGCACTATCTGCTCCCCTGAGCTGCTCCCCTCTGAAGGCTCTTCCTGCAGCCCTGCCCTCTCTGTCTGTCTTTCCGGCTCCAGACCTCTCCCTCCCCAGCGCCCCAGAGCCGAAACTGCTCAAACTTTCCATCATAGCAGGGGAGGCTGTCAGCTGGAGTGGGGGTGGGGGGCAGAGAGAGACAGTCTGGGAGGGGACTGATGCTTGAAGTAATGGAGTCACCTCACTCCCAGGAGAGGGAGGCGGGGAGCTGGACTGCCTGATGGTTCAGCCTGGCAGTTGCTGAAAGTCAGGATTCCTAGGTCCTGGCTCCTCCTGGGACTGTCACTTCCTCTCTCAGGGCAGCCTGTCCAAGGCGACTCCACTTGAGGAATTTGGCAAGACAGGCTCTCTCCAGCTGGTAGTTAGAGAGCCCAGGGCCTCGGAACTCTCTTCACTTTGGGGGGTCCAGGGGGCAAGGGCATGCTCCACCCAGGCTGCCCCAGCGTTTTGCCCACACTGTTCCTGGAAACCAGACAGATGCTCTGCTCTCCTGCTGGGAACCCAGCCCCGGAGGGAGCAGGACCGGAAGGAAGCCAAGGCTGCTCAGGAAGGCTGAGGGGGTCAGGAAGGCTGGGACCCCTGGATTCTTTAGAAAGCCCATCCCCCTGAGGTGAGGGTGGGGGTGGCTGGGGAGCCCCCCTGGCTTCTGCACCACTGAATCCTTCTCTCCAGAGTCCACATGGAGGAGCTGGCAGGAGCTTCCTTAGAGAGAGGCGTTCTGGGTTCTTTCCTCGATGCTGGGGGTCCTTGCAGTGCCCACCACCTTTTCTGAGCCTCTGCCTTCCATCCAAGACAGACATTTCTGAGAGGGGGGGGGCTGGATGGAGGGGCCCATGCCAAGTCTGGAGAACCCAGATGCCTGATTCCCACAGCTTCAGGTTCCTGTCCCTGTCCCGGCTCCCCATGGGGTCCTCAGGGTCCCATTCCATTGATCCCTACCCCCTGCAGGCACCCATGTCCACTAGTGCTCAGCGCTGGTGTGTGTGTGTTGGGGGGGGGTGCAGCTAATGGACTTGGCACAGCCAGGAGGTAATTACCAGAGAGGGGGCATGTGCCACAATGGGGTGGTAGGGTACCAACAAAATCCACCACCTATGAGCGGGGGTTGGGCGGCCTGTGTGTGTGGGCTAGGCCAGTGTGTCTGTGGATGTGCTATTCCTGTCCATCAGCGAAGCTGGTCATGTGGGTGCTTGCCCCCTCTTCATCCAGGACAAGGCTCTGGGCCCAGATCACCTGAAGAGGGTGGAGTGACTGGCTTCAGCTGCTGTTTCCTAATGGACAAAAGCTATTCAGTTCCCTTTCCCATGTTCTCCCGGAATTTTCCCTTCCCTGCCCTAACCTTGTTCCCAGAACCCCTCGCCCCACCTGCCCAGCTTTTCCAGCGAGACCTCCAGGTGTGGTTTTTAGGAGCCTCTGAAGCCCTGAGGCTCTCCCCGTTGGAAATGCCCTGGCAGGTCTCTTCTGCTACCTGCCCTCCACCCCCTGCTTCAATCCTGCTCAATGCTGGCTGAAACCCAGAGCCCCTGAGCCTCTACACACAGAGTCCCCAAGGCTCGGAGTGCCTCACCCGTCCTCAGCCCTGAAGAGAGCTCAGGGGGCAGAGGAGGCGGGTGGTGGGAGTGCAGGTGAGATAGAAAGCGCCCCAGAAGTCCATGCTATTCTCCGGGGCACTCTGACCAGCTGCCTGTCCCACTCATCTGTTCCTCTGTCCCTCCTCTGTCCATCCATGTGTGTGCCTCTCCTGCTGTCTCCCTCTGCAGTCTCTGTGTGCCTCCACATCTGTAGTTCCTGTCCCCATCTCTGTCTGCAGTCTCTCTTTGCACCTGTCCTTAGGCTCACCCGGAGAATCTATTCCCCACCCTGTCTTTCCGCAGATTCCCATCCCCTCTCCTCCCAATGACTCCACCTGCTTTAAGCCCTCCCTCACTGGGGTGGTGCCTCGCCACCCACCCACCCCAGGGCAGGAGAGGAGGGCCTGCGAACTTGCCCTCAGCAACCAGACCTCCCATCAATCAGCCTGCAGCCCTGGTCAGACCATTAGCACTAAGCAGCCTGGACAAGAGGCAGACACCATTGGGCTAGGCCTAGGGGTGATAAGACCCAGATTGAATCACCATGTGGGGAGAGCTGTGCACCCAGGGACATGAGGCAGCCATGCCATTAGCCCTGAGGAGCTGTGGGGAATGTGGGTTATTGCAGGAGCTGGGCAGGTGATTGAAAGTGATGGGGCAGGGGGTGGGGGGGACTGCTCTTCCCTGGCTCTGGGGTGAGGAAGATGGGGGCAGGGCCCAGGTCCTGGGGATGGGGGTCCTCACGCAGCCTTCATGCTGACAGAAGTCTCAGGCCACTCAGTAAGCCAGTGGTGTTCCAAGGGGGAGAGGGAAAAGGAGACCCCACCTCCTCCTCTGGGCAGAATGGGACAGGGAAGTGGCTTTGTCCAGTCCCTGGCCTCCAGATGCTGACCTGAAAGTTCTTAAAGAAGAGTGAAGGAGGGAAAGCAACACATGGTCCTGCCTCCCTCACCATTCCTGTACCCTGTTCCTTCCCTGTCCCTGCCATGTGCACGCGCGCACACACACACACACTCGCATCCATTGGTTCTACTGTACGCTGGCTCTGTTCTGTGCAAGGAAGACTCACCCCATCAATGTTTCCATCCTGTCCACCATGACAGCTAACTTCCATCCCTCCCACTGTAGCACCAGCCTCCTGAACATGAAGTACGGAGCAGGCAATTAGGGTCTGAAGGCCTGAGAAGCTTAACCTGAGGCTTCCTCCCCACCAGGTAAACAAGGTGACCTCAGGACTGGGAGGCAGACCACAGCCACAAGGTGGAGATGACAGCTACATCAGGGGTAGGTGAGAGGGGACCAGGAAGGGGGAGGATCCCAGAGAATCATTCCCCACCTGAGTCCCAATACCCCACTCCCTGAACGACGCCATCCCAAGAACTGGCAAGAGACACAGCCACGGGATAATAAATATAATTGCTGCGACAGAACCCTACCTAGAGAAGAGGGCACATCCCCTCCCTCCCAGACTCCACCTGACCCCTCCAGCATGCTGAGGGAGAGTTGGATGCTTTGAGATCACCCTGGGGCTGCTGGGAATGATGGGGTTGCTGAGGGCAGGTCCCAGTATTCCAGCTCCTCAGCCCCAGCCCCCAGCCAGCCCGCTAGCCCAGGACGTCCAGGTAGACCGGAGGCGCCTGGGCCAGGGCTTGCAGCTTGGCGTGCACATCCTTGATGCTGTGGCGCTGCTGGGGCTCCCGCTGCCAGCAGCCCCGCATAATGGCATAGACCTCGGGTGGGCAAGCACGTGGCCGCTCCAGCTCACGTCCCTGAGTGATGCACTCAATCGCCTGGGGCCACCAGAGGAGAGAGAAGAGGGCACACTGGGCTGGGGCAGGAGAGACAGGCCCAAACCCACCCCTGCCGCACTGAGGCTCCCAAGGCAGGCCCCACAATATGTCTGGGCCTCTTGGCTACTAATAGTCTAAAAGGATGCAGTGAATCCCGATTCCTTTCCACTCTGACACAGCAGGGGGAGGATTATGTCTAGATAGACTCTGGGAAGGTGGGCTGAGGATAGGATTGCTTGCCAGCAGGCTAGAATCATATCCTCAGAAGACTTGCCAGGTGGGTTGAAGAAGGGAAGGGGTGAAGGCCAAAATGGATTTGCCAAATCCAACAGCCTAGTGTTGAGGGCTGAAGGAGAAAGGAAGGGTCCTCCACCTCTCAGCTCCAGAGGGCAAAAAGAAAATAGAGCAGGATTGTGCATAAAGGCCTTGAAAAATGGCTGGCTTGTTTTTGAAGGTAGAAGGCAACCCCATTTCCTTTTCTCTTCTGTAGGTATTACTCTGTAGGGACCTAGATCATCTGAAAAGAAACTGCAGCAGGGAAGATCAAAGTTAGACTCCGAGAAGGACTGCTACAGCTTCTAAGGGACCTAAAGAAGGAGAGATGATGGCAGGGAGCTGGTTGAAGGGGCCTAGAGCCTCTCCCCTCCCCTTCTTCCCTCCCACCCCATTAGAGGACTTGGGTTATAGGCGGCACTAATTCCACTCCTCTCAGTGCTTGAGAAAATTAAAATCTATAACCCTCTCCCCCACCCCACCAGCCTCCAGGGAACAGACTGCATTAGGAGAAGAAATGGAAACTGACAGCTGTGAGCCAAGGAGGGGGTGGGGGAGCTGCTCTGGAAGACAGAACACCTGGGGCCTGCTCTGGCTATGTCCGACCATGAGGGGGTGGGGGCAAGACTGTCCTTCTTACAGTCTAACCTTCAGCCTTCCTGCTGCAGAGTCAGGCCCTCTTGTGCTGTCCTCCTGTTCCACGCCTCTCCCTTCCACCCAGAAAATGCCTATTAGTTCTATAAAATGTAGCTAGGATCGGGGTCCGGGTGCCATTTATAAAGTGCTTTGAGGTTCCTTGGGAGCCAGTAAGTGGAGGCAAGAATAGGAGAGGAGCAGAATGCGAGGAAGAACAGGGTTGGGGTGGAGGGAGCTCAGTGTCGGCAGGAGGGTGGTGGCCGCCGGCAGTGGGGTGAGGGGCAGGAGGGGACGGAGTTCTATAAGAGAGCCGGAGCGGCAGGGAGGGGGGCCCACAGGCGTGTCCCAGGAGCAGGGGCTGACCTCGTTGTTGGAGAGCTGGTACCAGGGCTGCTTGCCGTAGGTGAAGATCTCCCAGAGCAGCACGCCGAAGCTCCACACGTCGCTCTCGGTGGTGAACTTGCGGTAGAGGATGCTCTCCGGCGGCATCCAGCGGATGGGCAGCATGGTGCGTCCTCCCACCTGCGGCGGGGGGCGCGTCACCTCCAGGGCACGCCCCTGCGCAGCTCTCCGGGCTAGGCCCGCCCCCGGTCCCGCCAATAAAAACACGTGGAAGTGACTCTCCCGCCCAGGGCTGAGACGGAAAACCGATGATGCATTTCGTCCCGGGTAACGAAGACAGACCCACCTCCACTGCGGGCCCAGGAGCTAAGAAGGGGGGTTAGCCTGAAAGTCTCAGACCCTGGCAAGGGCAAGCTCTGGGCGGGACCCGGCCTCCAGGTGTCTACGGTTTGGGTGCTGGGGAGGGACTGGGACCAAAGATCCTTACGCGGTAGTAGTCGGTGCTGTAGATATCCCTGCTCATGCCGAAATCGCCGATCTTAACCACCAGTCCCTGGCCCACCAGACAGTTGCGTGTGGCCAGGTCCCGATGCACGAAGTGCAGTCCCGCCAAGTACACCATCCCTGCAGCCACCTGGCTAGCCACAGCCAGCAGCTGCCCCAGGCCCAGAGGGCCTGGAGCCACGTCCTCCCCTCCAGCCAGCAGCTTGGCATCAGGCCCATGGGACCTGCAAAAGAGTGAGGAAGAAGGAGTGGGTTGGGAGGAGAGACACCCCAGGAGCCTGAGGAAAGGGAGTCTGGGGAGCTGGGGTGGAGTAGGGGAGGGGACTCCGAGGGCTGGAAATGGAGGAAGGAAAGAACAGGAGAGGCAGCTGTCTGAAGGGGCAGGGACACCCCCCACCCCATCCCCGCAGGTGTGCCCAGCTCAAGGGCTTCCAGCAGTGCCCACACTTCCCACATTCATGCCTTCCTCTTGGGCAAGCTGCCTTGAACTCCAGCACCAGCTTCCAGCTGCCCACTGGCCCGCACATCTCTTGCCCATGGATACCTCTGACCCAACCCTTGCTCAGCTGCCCCTGCCTCAGTGAAGGGACCCTCCCTGCCCAGCTCTGGGCCTGGAACCTGGCAGCCCTCCTGGATTCCTGTGGCTCTCCCCTTTGCTCTCAATGTCTGGCCATTCCTGTGGGGTCTTCCTTCCTTCCAACGGTTTCCAGGATGCCCTCCTCCTCCCCACGGGCACCACTCCAGAGCAGTCCCTGGTCACTCATTCTGCTCCCCAATACTTCTTCTGAACCTTTGCCTGAGCTGATGGTTTTGTCCATACTTCCCTTTCTACCAGCCAGCTTTCTCCTTGTCTGTTTATTTCTTCATTTATTCCAGGTATGTATTAAGTATCTCCAGTGTGCCATGCACCAGAGCTACAATGGAAAGTAGGATGGGATGTGAGGGGCACCTGGTCAGTACTCAGGGTAGGAATGGAAAGTCAAGGAAGGCTTCCTGGAGGAAGAGACATCTAAACTGAGACTCCAGCCCTGAGGAAAAGAGGTCGGTAAGCCATTTGAAGGGGTCAGGAATGGAGTGGATGAAGTGGCTGGGAGGGAGGTCCGGTGTGCCAGGCAGAGAACAGTAAGTACAAAGGCCCAGAGGCAAGAAGGAGCAGATGGCCCCTTCCAGGGGAAGTCCAGAACTCATCTGGGAGCTTTCATGACTCCTTTCTTTGGTTCCCCCTGTGCTTCATCCAGCATTTAGAGCTGCTGCTCCCACAGCCTGGGCCCCAGATGGTGGCCTGCATCCCTGGAACCTAGGACTGAGCCCACACTGTGTCTTGTGAGCAAGGGCAAGGGCTCCTCTCTGGCTCCTCTTGACTCAGTTCCTCTGAGCTAATCCATCCCGGGTCTGGCTTCACCTCCCTCCTGCTCCACAGCCTCCAGTGACTCCTCCCCACTCACAAGGGAAGCTCAGACTCCAGGGTGTCTCCCAGCTGATTTCTGCAGCCTGACTGCATGAGTGACCCATCACTCCCAAGGGATTGTTTGGGGACCAAAGCATGACCATCAGCTAACGATTACACAAAGCTTTCTCATCCAGAATCACAGTCCTCCTGGGTGGGGAAACTGGTCAGAGAGGAAGGCTACCTGACAAAGAAGGCTCAGCTAAGTCATGGCTGATTCCAAACCCTGGTCTCTCCTGGCCTCACGCTGCCCCATCCTCACAGGGGCTCATCTCATCAGAACAGGTGACCATCAGTCAGGGGTTAAAAGCAGGGCTCTGCCTGGGGTCATATCTCCCCTGGGCCGTTTACTATCTCTGTGCCCTGTGGCAAGTCACTGATCCTCTCTAAGCCTCATCTGTGACATGGGCACGTTTCTGAAAGTTATTCAAATGATCAGCACAAATTAGTAAGCATATCAGAGTTGTTCTGTTCAACACCAAAGAAATGAAATTTTGGTAACTCTTCAAGTATAAATTGCCACATATGCTTGGGGACTATGAAAAATAAACATATATTTCTATTCTTTTTTATCTTCACCCGAGGACATTTTTCCATTTTTTTGTTCAGGTAGAGTGGGAGGGAGAGAGAGGCATAGAGAGAGAGAGAAACATCGATGTGAAAGGGACACATCGAGTGGCTGCCACCCACACGACCAACCAGGGCCAGGGACAAACTGCAACTGAGGCACATGCCCTTAGCGGGAACCGAACCCAGGTGTCTCTGGAACGCAGGCCGACGCTCTAACCGCTGAGCCAAACCGGCCAGGGCTATATTTCTCTTCTTATACAGATATGTGTGTCAAGCACATCAGCTTCCATCAGAATGGATTGTAAAGTATATAACACAGCGCCTGGAATATAGTAAGTGCCTGATACATGCTTGTTGTCGTGGCTGTTATTGTGACACTTATCTCGACTGCCGCCTCTTATAGGCATGGCTGCTGTGCACCACCCACAAATGCACACTCTCTGCAAAGCGCCCCCATCCTGAAGGCTGAGCTCATGACTTCTGCTAGTGCAGCCTCCCTGACTACCGCCACTCTGTCCTTTGCACGGACGACCCCCACGTTCACACATCTGCCTCAGAGCTCCTTGAGGACATGTCATGCCTTCCTGCTTCTTCTTGGTGTCCCCCTCAGTTCAACAGACAAGCAAGAATGTGCTTGCAGGAAAGGAACAACAGGGCTCAGAGCCGGGGGGCCAGGGGCCAGTACCGGAGGAAGCGGTTAAGGTCGCCGTGCCGCATGTACTCGAAGACCATGAGCAGCGGGCCGCCCTCGGTGCAGACGCCGAAGAAGCGCACGATATGCTGGTGCTGCAGCATGGTGAGCAGCTCGGCCTCGCGCTGGAAGTCCTGCCGGGCGCTCTCAGACACCTCCTTCAGTGCCTGATGGCAGGGGCAGGGACAGGACTGAGGGGAAGAACCCTCCCCTCCCACATCCAAGGTGGACCACGCCAGATGCCACAGCCCACCCCCCAGCCTGAGCACCCTGTTGTGGAACAATGGCTAAGGTCTTACCTTCACGGCCACTAGCATCTTGTCCTGCTCAGGCAGCAGGCTGTGGCACTCAGCAAGGAAGACCTTCCCAAAGGCGCCTTCACCCAGCTCCCACTTGAGTACGATGTCCCGGCGCTTGATGTGACGTACACCTGGAGAGTGGCTGACAGGATCAGACAGGAGCCCCAGTCTTGGGAAGGATGGGGTAGGGGCCAGGACAGGACAGTCTAGCTGGGCTGTGCACAGCACGAGGACATCAACCAAGGGGGTGGAGGGGGACTGGAATTCAGCTTCACTTCTGCACCAAGCCCCATGCTGGGGTATAGATGGGGTGGTGATGGGTGGACAGGGTGTGTGGCGGAGGGGAAGGCTTTTTCAGGCCTGGGGTAGGCAAAGGCGACGACGCAGGGGCTTCTATACATGCGCATGTGCGTACACTTGCCCCCACCCTTTCTTGACCCAGCACAGCCCCTCACAGGCATCACTGAAGTATTGTGGGTTCTCAATAATGTGGCCTTGGAGCCCGGAGCCTTTGCCCTCAGTTGGGGACAAGGAGCTGCCACCCAATGTCATGAAATGCAGGGACATGGCCAGTCCATCCTCCGGAGCCAGCACAGCAGGGCCTGGGAAGGAGACAGAGCCACAGGTTGCAGGGTGCCAGGTAACCCCACCTTGTCATTTGCAGGGGTAGGAACAGAGGAGCTAGGGAGCAAGACAGCCAGCAGGGAGAAGGGAAGGCACTATGGCCTCTCTGTGTCTGGCTCCTGTCCAACCCCAGGCCCCGTGGGCCACCAAAGAACTCCCCCATTGTTGCCCGCCCCCCCAGAGCTCAGACTTCCCAGACCCACTTAGTGTTTGACTACAGTCCAGCCACCAATTAGCATCTGCTGCTTCTGAAACTACCCCAGCACCAGCCCGACACACACTCACACGCACAGCCCCACAGCCAGGCCCTCATATGCCCCAGACACACACTCCCTAAACTCCATGTGTCCACAGCACCCCATCTCACCCCACAGAAGACAGTCAGGAAGAGCTGGTAGGAAACAAAGGCAGTAGGACAAACGGGCACACAGCCCCCCCACTCACGGTTGATCCCAAACTTGTTCCTCCGTCCACATTTGTTGAGCACAAGGAATAGCGTAGAAAGGAAGAGGCAGGCAAAGACAGCCAGGCCCACAGCCACTGAGACCTGGGGTGAGGGAGGCTAGATCTGGGGCTTCTCTTGATCTCTAAGAGCTCCCCAACAGCAGTTTCTCTATCCTGCATAGGAGCCCAGGCCAGGCTCCCAGACCCTCCTCCTCCTCCCCTGGGGCCCCAGGTTGTGGCTGTGAGGGTGGTTGACAAGGGCAGGCCAGACTGTAGTGATCCCCATTCTCTGATCAGAATTGACATGCAGATGAGCCCCCAGCCCAGCCTCCCAACCCCAAGTGGACCCCAAATCTTCCATTTCCCACGCTCACCCCAAAAGGTGTTTCATCCTTCTTCTCCACCGGGTCTCCAGATGTACTGTTAGTGTCTGTGGGGACACAGAGCAGAAAGGTGGGCCTTGGCACATGCTGTGTCTCCTCCAGCAACTCCCCACCCTGACCCTGGCTGAGCCGTTGGGGATCAGGTACCCTCGGCTCCAGCCCTGGCTCCAGGGACCAGACAGAACCTCCCTCCAGCCCAGGCTACTCACCCACTGGTGAGAAGGAGACTGAAGCAGAAAGGAGGAGAAAAAGCAGTCAGATGGGGAAGGAAAACAGCGAGTCCCCATCCCCCTTGGGACTCATCCCTTCATGGGCTGCGGGTGGGATGGGGTGGCGGGGCGCTGGACTTCAAGCAAGAAGACGCACACGGCCCTTTTCCAGCTGGGCCATGGATGCCCTGGTGTACGGCTCTCTCCAGCCAGCCCCAGTGAGTGGAGTAGCTCAGGAATTCGGGACTCCTGGGGCACGGAGGAGGCCGGGGCAAGGAGGCCAGTACAAAGCTGGACAACAGAACTGCACTCTTTTCTGTCCGGGACTAAGCTCTCCAACTTGTAGGGTCAGGATCCCAGCAGAAAGTGGGCCAGGCCTCCTTGGACACCAAGGATATGTACCCAGGTGGAGCCCAGGGAGTGGGGGCAGGATTCAGGGTGGCCTTCGCACCAGGGATGGGGTCCTCAGGGTTGAACTCGAAAGGGTTGTCCATGAACGCGGCCATGATGGAGGCAGCGGCCTGGCCTGATGGGTTGGTGGCCAGCAGCGTGTAGTTGCCATTGTTGACGTGAGTGGGTTGGTTGAGGCGCAGACACCCATGTCTCACTGTCTCGTTGGCAGCCGGCTCCAGGAACTCGGTGAAGATGAAACTGGTCTCGTTGAGCACGGAGCCATTGAAGAGCCAGCGGAGAGTCGGCGCCGGCTGCCCGTCCACCGAGAAGGGGATGCACCAGTGATGCAGCTCCACCGCGGCGTGCAGCTGCACGCTGGCCGGGACTGCGGGCCAGAGAGGGTGCCGGGCAGAAGTCAGGGGCCGCCGGGACCCCGCATGAACCTCACCTCCAGGGGCTGGCGGGGAGGCTCGACAGCAAATCTTAAATCAAGTGTGTAAAGTGTGGAAGCTTTAGGTGGGCCTAAAGTAAAGAAGGATAGCCCTAGCGCAGAGTGGTGCCAGCTCATGGAAATTAAACACGGGGTCTTTTGGAAACGTGTAATCGAGCTTAAGAGGACAGGAGGGGGCCTAAACAGCAAACGAGCAAGAAATAAATAAATAAAAGTTTTTAAAAAACTTTTGGGAAGACATAGTTTTGAAATAGACACAACCTGAAAGAGGCAAAAAGCCCCTCAATAATAAGAAAACATCTATATCTCTATCTATCCACATATACCTATATAAGTTAATACTGGAATTGCAGCCAGCACTCATACAATGGGATATTATTCAGCAATGAATTGAATGGACTAAAGCTAATCTCATGAACATGGATGAACCTTACAAATGCAACGCAAGCAAGAGACACTAGACACAAAATAATACTTGAGGTCTGATTCCATTTATAGAATGTGCAAGAACAGGCAAAACTATCCCATATTGATAGGGAAGCATACTCGTATAAAATTATTTTTAAAAGCAAGGAAATGATTATCACAAAAGTCAGGACGGGGTGGAGGAAAAGGATGGGGTTCTGAATGGGGAGAGGAAGGGAGTGTCTGCTGAAGTGCTGGTAAGAATATTATTGCTGAAAGGGTATAGGTTTTATGCACAAATCTATGTATCTTCTATTTCACATTAAAAGAGAAGTTATATAACATAGAAGATTTAAAATAGTTTATTGGCAGACGTGGAGAAATTAAGCAGTGAGCCTAGAGAGGAGCTAGAAAGGTCAATTGCTTCTCCAGTTAAATTAAAACCAGTATGTAGAGTTAAGGTCCTACAGAGGGACAGGCAGGAAGAAATACAGTGGAGCAGTGCGAACAGTCGGGCAGCTGGGCCGATGGCCTCAGGTAGCAAGACTTGGGCAGGGGGCCAAAAAGAAATCCATCTCCATCCCTCCGGCCTTGATGAGCCCCCAGGATTTTCCCTAAAGGATCAGGTTTTCATGGGAATCTGGAAACAGCTGGGAGGGAGCAGCTGTGGAGATACACATCCCACCCCTTTCCTCCAGCCCCTCCCACCCTCACGTCTTTTCAGGGAAGGAGATGGGGGGGGGGGTACAGGGCAGTCATTGGGACTCACAGGAGACGTTGACCTGAACAGAGACTTCAGCCCGGCCCACGTCGTTCTCCGCCCAGCATGTCACATTCTTTCTATTGAGGTCACTGGTGACATTGGCCAGAGTCAGCCTCAGAGACGGCAGACCCCCCGATTGCTGTGTCAGGAAAAGAGGGGGAAATCAGGAAGAGCATCAGCTGGCTTCTGGCTAGAGGTTGGGGGCTAGAGCTTGATGTCTTTGGGGACCTCCTCTGGCTCCAGATGGAACAGAGAGGGGGCCGGTAGGGAGAGGGAAGAAAGAGGTATGGGAGAGAATATAGCAGAGAACGGGCCTCCTTTACAGTTTGTTCACAGACTCTCTCCTGGATTATTTATTTAATGATCTGAAAAGTGTAGAACATAACCAATAACCTCAAAGTAGGCACAAAATACCCTGAACCAAAATCACCCTTCTGAACAGCTAAATAGATTTCACAAATCCCAAGTACCAAATACACACCACTCACTGGAGAGCCAACTGGGACCTCGCCACCTACTCACTCCCATTCTCCACACCATTCTAACACCCTTGGTTAGAGCCAAGGGAAGGTCACAAACAAGGAGATGGCACTGGTAACAGGGCACTCATTAGAAGCAACAGTAGCATCATGATCTCCTTTGGCAAATGAAGACACAGAGTGAAGTTAGACAAAGTGACTTCATTCTGAATCATCATCAAAAGGTTGAATCAGGTTCGGATTCTCTTCCTAAGAAACCATGGACATGTGGAAGTCATATGATCTTAACCTCGCTGAACCATGGTTTCCTTGTTTTGTAAGCAGAAGAGGTAGACAAAGTAATCTTTTGGCATTTTAGAAAGCCATTTTCTTTTTCTTTTTTAAAATATATTTTTATTGATTTTTAAAAAAGAGATAGAAGCATCCATCGGCTGCCTCCTGTACACCCCCTACTGGGGATCGAGCCCACAACCCTAGCATGTGCCCTGACTGGGAATCCAACCGAGACCTCTCGGTCTGTGGGGCCGATGCTCAATCCACTGAGCAACACCGGCTGGACTAGAAGGCCATTTTCATAAAACGATGAAAATAAATGAAGTTGTGGACAAATCCCAGTTACCTAGACATTTCTAAATGTGGAATCCCTGACTAAAGACAGAGGTGGTGAAGTTTCCCTGGGCTTCTATTGGAATATGTGAGTTCAAAGACGTGCTGTCCAGCCCTGGCCGGTTTGGCCCAGCGGTTAGAGCGTCGGCCTGCAGTCCAGAGAGACCCGGGCGCAGTCCAGAGAGTTCCTGCTAAGGGCGCGTGCCTCAGTTGCAGTTTGTCCCCGGCCCTGGATGGGTTGTGCGGGTGGCAACCACTCGATGTGTCCCTTTCACGTTGATGTTTCTCTCTCTCTCCCTCCCACTCTATCTGAACAAGAAATGGAAAAATGTCCTCAGGTGAGGATAAAAAATAAAAATAATAATTAAAAAAAAAGATGTGCTATCCAGCAGGCTCTGGGCTCCAGCCACCTCGAGGCAAAGCCCTGCCCTCAGCTTCTCTTGGCTGTCCCATCTCCTCCACATCACCCTGGAGTGTGGCATCCTACCAACTCTTCCTTCTGAGCTGCTCTGCCACCCTTCACTCTCCTGAAGGGGCCCACCCTTCCCTTCCCTCCAGTGAACCCAGTTAGGATGTGACTTTTCTATAGGAAGTTTCTGGAAAATACAACTGGTAGCAAACATGTAAATCTCCCAAAGAGAAAAACAAAAACCTGGACTTTTTCAAAACATAGTTGATCAAAGGACTCTCCACAGATGGTCACGGCTCACCGCTGGCCTCTGCCTTGCCCCCTTCCCATTGCCCACTCTCAGTGGCTTTATCTCTGGGAGGACAAACCAGTGGCTAGTTGTCCCTCCACCATGTCTGGAACCCCCTGCTAGGGGCTTCAGTGTTTTTTTCCTGCGATATTGTTCCAAGAGCCTCCAGCAGTTCTGGGGTTGACCCCCCACACACAAACTGAGGGCCTCTAAACTGAACACTACCCCCCAGGTCCCACTGGCCCACCTCCTCCCAGGGGATGGATCCTGGGCATCTACCCATGTGGGGACAGCTTTTTGGGTGGGCACAGACCACTGCTGGCCCCTCTTGACCTTGTCAACAAGGTCTCCTAGTCAGTTGTGGCTACTCTTGACTCCTCACAGCCTGAGGACTCGGGGCAAGCCTGGGAAGGTGCCCAGAGACACATCTGAATGACAGATAAAGGCCGGAGAGTGCCCAGAGGCAGGCAGGACATCAGAAGGCCATCATGTCCACCTCCTCAATTTGGAGATAAGAAAACCAAAGTGCAGGCCGATGAAGAGATGTTTCTGAATCACTCTGAGAATGAATTAGTGAGCGATCTGGAACCAGAACTTTGCCTCTTTTACTACATGCTTATCACGCTGCTTGCTTCCAGAGCCTCCAGGAAAAGACTGAAGTCCCCCAGGAACTAGTCTGGGTACAGGACCCCAGATATCGTGCCCACTCCACGATCCTCAGTTTCCTTGTCTGGAAAGGGGGTGGATGGGAGGGATGGTCTGCAGGGTCCCCCTCAGCTCCAATATGTGAGGGCTCTGTGACCCTCGGTCTTGCAGCCAGAACCATGTTCCCAGAAAGGAGGTCCAAGTCCTGGTGGCTGCAGCAGGGCCTGGGGTCCCCACAGGCCAGTGTCCTTCCTGAGGCCATGAGTGTGCCAGGGGCTGCCCCACAGCACGAGTCTGAGCCCCATGCGTCCACACCACCTCTGTCCATCCATTGCCCTCTATGTGCTTCTTATTCATGGTCTCTTTTCCTGTCTTTGTCCCCCATGTTCTGCTCAGGATTCTCCTAGGGAGCGGGGGAGGGGCAGCGATGGCGAAGGGCTTCTCACCGTCACTGTGGCTGACTCCTCCAGCTCTGTGAAGATCCAACCAGCCTGCTTCAGGCCCTGCCCCTCCACCTGGCACTGCAACCACACGCTGTCCCCCACGTCCACGGAGGCATTGGGCATCTGGACCTTCAGCATGGGCACGCCTGGTAGCCCAGGATGCCCAAGGGGTGTCAGAGAAGGTAGTGGCCTCAGAACCCTACCCCAGAGCGAGCTACTTCCCCCGACTTCCTCAGTGACCCAAGCCCACCACTGGCAATGCTCCCCAACCTTCAGTGTCCCCAGCTCTTGCCAATGCCACTCCCCAGGTATCTTTCAGGACTGCCCCCCAGCTCTGCTCTGTGCCCTGTCCCGGCACGGCACGTAGCTCTCTCCCAGCCCCTCACATCACCTGCAGCACCTACCACAGCTGGTGTTGGACAGGTAGGCAAAGGGCCCGCGCCCCAGGCACTGGAGCTTCTGCTCCCGCACGCCGCCCAGCCCCTCCTCCTCCCAGCGCCGCAGCCAGTTCAGGGCACAGGAACAGCGCAGAGGGTTCCCGGACAGGACTCTGGTGGGTGTGGGGGATACCAAGAGAGTCAGGGGAGGGGCAGGTGTGGGGCCTGAGGAGCCTCAGAGAATGAAGTACTACAGTAAGAGAGAGTGCAATTAGACCATAGCATGGACCGTCTAGAGGGAAAGGAGTGTGGACACAGGAGACGTCCCTCTCATGGGCGAGTAACAGGACAGAATGCAGGAAGCCCGACAGCTGCCTGTGGGCCACATGGAATTCCCTATCCCAGGCTCCCCAGGGGGAGAAGCCAGGTAACCAGGAAGGAAGGACCTTGCCTCCCCGAGTGACCCAGAGGCAGTGCCCACCCAGCACAAGTGGCCCACTGCTGTCCCACCCATCCCATGTGCACAGGGAGCTGGCAGCCCCCAGCCTCCTGAGCACACACAGATTTAGTTGTCCAGGCCAGCACCTCACCACGCACCCCATCCGCCCCAGGGCAGTAAGCTCCTCAATGGGTAGGACTGCAGCCTCTGTTTTTATGGGAGCCTCACAGGCATGCACAGAGTTCCCAGTCTCAGCTCACAGATTAACAGGGAGTCCCCAGAGCCACCCCACCCCTGCCAGTTCCGCACAAACACAGTGACATAGTGTCACACAGAAATACAAGCGCATGTGCGCGCGCACACACACGCTGCTCTTGCCCTGGGAGCCCCCATACTCACAGCTCCTGTATGGACAGGCCCTGCACAGTTTTCCAGGAGAGAGACTCCAGAGCATTGAAGGAGAGATTCCTGCGGGAGTTGAGACAGCAAGACAGACCCCGGTGAGCAACCCGACCTCCCTCTGACCCAGCTTGAGGGAGGGGAGGAGCCCAGGAGGAAGTTGACAACCAGAACCATCCCAGACCAGCGGGGAGGCCTTGGGATGGGGGGACAGGTTAGGCTCTTTGAGAGCCCTTCTTCCTGGAACAAGGGCTCACCCCACTTAATCCCCTCCCCAGACCCCAGGGAAGGGGTTCTCAGGGAACAGCTGCTCCTTCCTTGGCCCCAGCTGGCAAAGTGCTGAGGCCCCAGCTGGGGGAAGGGGCTCCATCTGTGCTCTCCTGGCCACAGAGCCCAGGACTGGGCCAGAGGAGGGGGAGGACTTGGGCTCCCACACTCTTTTGCCCCCTACCGGATGACTAGGATTTCGGAGTACTTCCTCAGGTCCCATATCTCCTCAGGGACTAGGGAAAGTCGGCTGAAAGGGACCACAGGCCCCCAGCCCCTTGTAGAGATGGAAAGTGAACTAGGTACAACCAGCTCCAGGCCACACAGGAAGCTGGTTTAGGAGCTCCCATCACCAACCAGCCTGCCATTCCTGGGACCTGCCTCTGAGGAGCCTGCCCTGACCCCTCTCCTTGCCTAGCTGTCCTATAGTTTTGGGGGAGCTGGATCAGAGAGGCACCACCACATAGGGATCAGAAAGACTACCTACTTTAGCACCAGACAAGAGCTGAGTGTGACTCTGGCCTGCCACTGACAGCTGTGTGACCTCAGCCCAGAAACTTAACCTCTCTGAGTCTCAGCATCCTCATTTATAAAGTGGGGATGCCACCCTCTCTCAGTTGATAATGTGGATTCACTGACATGAGTATTATGAGGTACACATTTTTATTGAAGCCCCAGTACATAGTTAGTGATGTCACATCACATTATTGTTGTTGTTGAATCACTGGACACAACAGAGAGTTTAGAGTACCCAGCACAACCATGTGAACAAAAGGCTCCCAGCACCCTTCCCATCCCTCCACCTGCTTGTGCTGGGGAGGATTTGCTGAACTCCTGCCCTCAGAAGGCCAGGAAGGGGCAGTCAGGGGCAGGGTCTCTCCTTCAGCAGTCTCTCCAGCCCATCCCTGCCCTCCCTGTCCTGAGCTATGACTCCCAGGAATGTGGAGATTGATGAGTGGCAGATCTGATACCGGAGCTCCCAGGGGAGAGAGAGTCCCAGCCGGACCCCAGGGTCCTGCTCCTGCCCCTCGTTCCCCAGTTCATAAATATCTGAACCCTGGGAAGGAAAATGGGGCAGGCGCCTATGAGAAGTGTACTTGTAGCATGAAGCATACAAGTGAGACAGCAAGAAGGACCTTCTAGCTGGCAGGGTGGAAGCTGAGAGCACTGCCATCCTGAAGTGGATGAGAAGCCCCAGGCTGGAGCCTTCTTCAGAGTAAATCCCTGGGGAGGGCCAAGCCCATTAGCTGCCCAAGTCTGGGTGGCCTCCCACCCTCTCTGCCCAGCCCGGGCCACTCACAGGCGACTGAGCCGCGGGGTGAAATAGAAGGCATCTGACGCCACGGATCGGAGACCACTCTTCACGATGGAGCTGAAAAGGATGCAGCAGATCAGCCCCTGGGCCTGAGCTACCTGGGCCCTGGCATATCTGCCCATGGCAGTGCCCAGCCCCTGTGCTGAGCCCTGGACCCCTCCCCACCCCCTTCATAGCTTCCTCAGCTACCCTGAACCCCTGTGCTTTCTGACCACCTCCAGCCCCTGAGGCCTCAGCCTCTCAGGTCTTCCCAGGCCTCTAGAATCTTTGGGCCCACCCTGACCCTCTGGTCCAACAACTCTATACTGAGCCCCACACCCCCAGTCCCCAGCCTCCTCACAGGTTTCTCAGCTCCCCCAGGCCCCTGAGGTGACTGAGCTCCAGACGCTCCAGATACGGCTCATTCTCGATGTAGCTGTGGGGAGAAGGGATGGAGTCACAGGAGGCCAGGCCCACACTCGCGTTCCCATACCCAGCCACCTGCCTCTCTCGCAATCACATATGCATAGACCTGTCAATACACACACAAATGCACGGGCAGGTACCCACATCTGCATACACATATGCACAGACACACACCTCCTCACACCATCACACATGCACATGAATGCATGCTTCTCACACCATCACACACGCACACTCTCATACATCTCTCATGTACATGCACACTCTCAGGCATGGACATACACACACAGAGGAATAAATATAGGGTGTCCCCCCAAAATGCATACACAATTTTAAGTAATTATAAAGCCAATGTTTATTAAAATACATTTTATTCTCAAAATGTAATAGATTGGCAGATACCCTGTATACATATTTTGGGACACCCTGTATATGCACAGAAATGTACCGCCTCACACAGTCACATATGTGCATGCCTGAACACACAGGTTTGCACACATGTATGCTCACACCCTCCACATGGACACCCGTATACACATATCCCTCATACACACACACGTACACATGTGTGAGAATATATGTGCATACTCACATTCACAAATACACACAAGTCCATTCCTGACTTGGTGTTCTGCTTTGTTTTGTTAAATCCTACCTGAGGATATTTTTTCCATTGATTTAAAAAAAGTGTTTTGAGAGAGAGTGGAAGGGGGAAAGAGAGAGAGAGAGAGATCGATTGGTTGCCTCCCACACATGCCCGACTGGGGCCAGGGATTGAAACTGCTACCCAGGTACCTGCCCTTGACTGGAATCAAACCCATGACCCTTCAGTGCACAGGCTGACTCTCTAACCACTGGACCACACCAGCCAGGGCTTGGTGTTCTGCTTTTATACACAGGGCTTCTCCTGCACACACTCAACAATGGGGGTCATGCTGAAATACTTGCTTCCATAAGGGGCCTGGGCTCATAGCTGCCACTGCCTGCCTAACACAGAGGATGCCTCATGGTCACGCAAATATGTGTGCCCAAACACACCTGCTCACCCATACTGCTCCACACGTACACACACACCACCCTCTCCCTCTTGAAGCCATTGGCCTTCTCCACACTCAAGCAACAATCCCTACTCCCTCCCAACCACGTTTCAGCAGAGCAAGCAGAGGAATAGAGGCTGTCAGTCAGGGACATCTTGAACCCCACCCCCTCCCAGGAGGGACCCAGGAAAGAGAAGAGGGGCAATGAGAGGGTGGGTTGGGGGTGAGGGTGAAGAGGCATGGACTGGCTGACTTACACTGTGGGGGGTGGCAGAAAAACAGAGAAAGAGCAAAAAAGAGACTGAGAAAGAGAAACTGGCAGGAAGAGACTGGCAGAGAGACAGAGAAGGAAAGACAAGGAGAAAGACAGATAAGAAAAGGGAGACAGAGAGACAGATAGATAAGGACAGAGAGCCAGAGAAAACAAGATAGGGAAATGAGAAAGAAGGAAGAGCAAGCATGCAGGGGTGGGGATTGCTGGCGCCCTGGGCACTGCCCAGCCTCTGGATCGGCATGCCAGGGAGTTCCTAAGAACTCAGCTGCCTTGCAGAGGCACGTCAGTGAACCCACACACACACACATGCCAGGGGCCCCGATTCACTGCGGGTCTCAGATCTCTCCCCCTCTACCCTCTTACTTTCCCTAACTTATGGGAACCAGAACCAACCTGAGTAACCCTCTCCTTCTCTCCCCTTCCCAACCTTGGCCCCAGCAGGACAGTAGGACAGTCCCTTGGGGCCTAGGGAATAAACTCCAGTAACTCAGGGAGAGTAGATCCCCCAGAGGGTTGAGAGCTGTATGGACCCAGGGAGGGGGTGAGGGTGCAGTGGCCGAGCATGTGCAAGCTGTCAGGCAGCATGCTCAAAGCTGCCTCATTCGTTTGGATTCATAATCAATCTGTCTATTCAAGTCCATTATCTCCTCGTTAGCTCTGCCAGTGATGGAGGAGGAGGGGACTCTGCAGGCAGAGGCAGGGGGTCAGGCTGCTGCCCCACCCAGAGAGACATCTCAGCTCACCACCCTGCATGCTTCCTAATACCCAACCCCACCTAGTCCATGACCCCCCACCCAGGCTGGACCCACTTGGGCTTGGAAGAAAACTGAGAAATGAGACCTCTAATAGGAAATACTCAGGAGCTGGGCCCTGGTTTGAAGGCCCGGGGTGATGAATGGAATGGACCGGGGGTGGCAGCCTGGATCTCATGTTCCCTCCTATTATGCCGAGACCTAGGCCCAGACCAAGACAAGGCCATCTCTTCTGGTCTCCCTAGGGCCATTAGAGAGATAGAGTACCTTCCCGTTAATTACCACAAGATACCCGAGTAACTCCGTGCCAATTATCTCAGGCTGCTCAAGTAACTTCCAGACAGTGATGGCCCCTGACTCAGATACCTTCCAGCCTGTCCATCACTGCATGAGACCAGGGTTCCTTGCCCACCCTATAAGCCTCAGGCGACAGGAGGATGATTTTCTAGCAGGTCCTCCTCTCTTCTAGAAGTCTTGCTGGCCCCACCAGCCACACAGAATACTCAAGTATTTTTCAGTCGTCACCACGTGATGTTTGAGTATCTTTAAGCCAATTACTACAGAACACTCCCATAGATTTCGCCAGCTGCTAAAAAGTGCTTGAGTATTTTGTAACTGATTACTGCAGAATGTTGGAGTACTGCAGAATGCTGGAGATTCCTCCTAGTTTAGGGTCCTGAGGGGAGGAGAGTCTCTCAGCAAGGGCCTGACTTCCTGTCCCATGTAGGGAGACAAAGGTAGAAAGAGATGGATATGGGGAAAGAGAAGCCAGGAAGGAGGGGGGGGTCTCATTTCCTACATCCAAATCAAGGAGTAGTGGGGACAAGGGGAGAAGAAAGCTCACCGCCAAGCTATGATTCCTCACCACCTCCCACTTTTCCAGTTCGTTTCCCAATTCCAGGGGGAAGAGTCGGGGTCGCCTCGTGGTGACAAGGAAGGGGATAGGGGGCTAGATTCCTCCTGGAAAGAGGATAAGTCAGTAAGGGTACCCAAACTGAAAGGTTCCCCTGAGCTCTGGAAAACTGCTTGGAGACGGCTGGGCTCTGTCAGACGCGGTCCACGCAAAGTCCTCTTGCTCTCCCCAAAGCCAGCGCCCCAGCCGCACCGAGCGCTAGGTGACGTCCAGTCCCTAACTGCGGTGGCTGCCAGGGCGGCGGCGGCCGCGAAGAACCAGGGCACAGCCTCCTGCCGCGCCCGCCCTCCTGACCACGGCAAGTCCGCACCCTCGGGGCTCGGCTATGCTCGCTCGTCCCCGCGCCCCCGCGCCCGCCCGACACTCACAGCTCGGTCAGGTTCTCGGTGCCCGGCAGGTTGCGGAGGACATCCAGGGCCCCAGACCGGGTGCAGCGCAGCCCCGAAGGGCCGTGGTAGCAGCAGACATCGGGGCAGGATGCGGCGCCAGCAGATGCCAGCATCAGCCAGGCCAGCAGGCAGCCCGGGCCCATAGCCAGGCCGTGCCCGCGGAGCTGCCCGCAGAGCCGCCCGCGCCGTCCGCCTCGCAGCATCGCGGCGGCGCCCGCCTTGCCCGGGCCGGGCCGCCGTCTGTGCGCTCCAACAGCGGCCGGCGGGCCTCCCCAGACATGTGCGCTGGGCGGTGTTAAAGACCCAGTCGCCAGGAAAGGGCGGAGCCAGAGGCCCCCGCCCGGCCCCGCCCCGCCCCCTCCGGCTCCCATTCCTCCCTCACCCCTCCTAAGCCCCCAACTGGGCCCCCACCCCTTTCAGGAGCCCCTGCACCAGCTTTCTCCTCGAAGATCCCCCCAGTTCTGGGAGACCCGGAAGGGCGATCGTGGAACGCCTCAGAGGTATCTGCTGGGGTAGGGGAACTGGGAAGTTGATACGTTATTTCTCCCAGCCTAAAGCAGCTACATTTAGGGGGGCGAGGAGGTGACTGAGCCGGCTAGAGGTTGCCGTCCAGGTCATCCTAGCCAGCCCCCGGCCTCAGATCTCCCTCCTCATGGCGCACGTGCCTGTGGAGTGTGCAGTGTCACTTGAAGTAAATTAGCTGAAACACTCTCTAAACCTTAGGAAGAAAAGGGAAGGGACCCCCAAAAGACCAAACACAGGTCCTCGAGATGGAAAAATTAAGAGTCAGAGAAAAGAGAAGGTGTAGCCCAAAAAGCAGAGCTACTAGGGAGCCGAGATGCCGATTTCCAGCAGAGACCGCAGGGTGGCGCAAGAAGCCCACGCGCAAAGGTGTGCGCTCTGCCGGGGTTCGGTGGGTGGGGGCGCAGTCCGCAGCGCCCACTGCTCTGCGCCTCCCAACCCAAGCATCAGTCCCCAACTCAGGCCAGCCAGCGCTGGCCCCCAGGCCGGGTAGGTCCAAGTTGGGAGGGCATCGATCGCCGCCCTGACAAGAGCATCGATTTCTGCACGGAGAAATTAATAGATCTTCTCTTAGCTCCTTGGACGTGGTAGCGGACGGCGGGTGAAGGTGGGGACTCGTCGGTCCTAGGAGGCCGCACACCCGGAAAGCCCGGGGATCCCCAGCACCCAGGGCGCCACAGGACATGTCCCAGCCTCTGACACCCTGTCGGCCTTCGTGGCTGCAAGAGCCCGTCCGTCTCGAGCCGGGGAGAGGAGGAGGAAGAGGGGTCCTGGAGGGACTGGAAAGGGGCCTCGGACTAGGGTTCCAGGGAGAGAGCGGCGCGTGGCTCTCTTCTCCACCAGGGCCCCTGGCACAGACCGCACACCAACCCCCGCCTCGCCATTCCCTGAGGCAGGGACGAACAGACAAACCAGGACAACCAAGCAGCCAGAATCCAAGAAGGCAAGGACAGAGGAGGGGCCCCACAAGGTGATTGCCCTCTCCACGGGGTTATTGGTGGAAACCAAGGGACTTGGCTGGGACGGAAGCTCGCACCGCAAAGCGGACGTGGAGGCCTCAGAGGATGCTGAGGGGCTGGGAGAAGCAAGGGCTTGACTCTTAAGGAGACACTATTCACGTTCCCGCCAGGTTCCAACAAGCTCGCTCCGCCGGGTCATGGCTGCCAGAAGTTACCCCGCAGGTGTCAGTGCGTGATAGCAGAACCTAGAACCACTCCTGCCCAGGGGACCTGGCTGCTCGCTGCGCTGCTCGGGCGCTGCAGCCCAGCTTGAGAAAAATCCGCAGGGCGGGGCCAGGGGAGTTCAGTTCTTGGCCTACCACCCCCCTCTATATTTTGACCTTATTTCCCCAACAGACCTGCCCCCTTCTCAGTTGTCAGGCTAAATATTTTGGCTTGGCGGGAGGGGCGGAGAGAATCGAGAGGTCCCAGCAAACCAATCCGTTTGGACTGGAGGTGGGGAGGACCGCAGCCCCTGCGCGCGCCGCGGGAGGCGGCCAGCGGGCGCTTGGGAGCTTAGCGCTCCTCTAGAGATCCCGAAAGCCTCCGGTGCGCTCCCGGACCCCCGCTGCTCTCCGTGGCACGGCAAGCTGCCCGCGCTTCTCTATCCCTTGGAGCTGGCCGGCCTCTTGGACCCCTTTTGCTCTCTGCCTCCTGTGTGACTTTCTTCCCCTGGGAGCCTCTCTGAGTCTCTGCATCTCTGTCCTCATCTTTCTCTCTCTGGCTTCACGCTGAGTTTCTGTCTCTAGCTGCCTGTCACTGTCTGTGTCTCTGTGGCTGTCTGTCATTCCTTTGTTCGGTCTTCTGCCATATCTGTGTAGGATTCCTTGTGGCTTGGTCCCTACTCTTCCACTCCCTTCCGAAGCCTGTGTCTCTGGCCCTTAGAGCCTGTCAGACCCTTCTGCCCAGAGCCATCTGGAGAGTCAGGACTGGGGCAATGGCAGTGTCCAGACTGTGGCCATGGGTGGCATGTCTGCTTGCGATCCTCCTGTCCTTGGGATTTGGCCTCGACACACTAGAGGGTGAGTCCCCGGTACTGCCTCCTAGAGCCCCATCTCCCTTCTAGCCAGCTGGAAGGCCAAACAACTGAGCTTCCAGCTGGAACACATTATTTAGCTACTGCATTGTGAAGACTGGGGTTAGCTCTCAGAAGGACTTCCCACCAGTAGGAGCAGTTAGTTCCCTACATGAGGGTGTTTTCCTCTCAGTTCCCTGGGAGGAGAGAAGGATCTTGAAACAGAGAGATGAATAGATGCCCTCCATTCTCACTTGTGAAACCATGATCCCAACAGAGCCTGAATGAGAACCAAAATGAGAGAGGAGAGTCTTAGAGGTCATTTCCCGGGTCCCTGAATGGGAAGTGGGCAGGAATGGAATAAGTAGCTGAGAACTGGGCACAGTTAAGTGATTGAACTCGTGCAGACAGGAGACAGGGGCTCAGGAAATTGAGAGGTAAAGCTAGACTGGGGTCCTGAGCCCCTGCCTCCAGGGCCCTGTTCCATTTCCCCCGTCTTAGGGCCCATTTACTGGAGTGGAGGGCTTTTTATTAGTGACCCAGGGGAGACAATCCCCATGTGTAGGATTTGGGGGTGGGTGGGACCAAGTAGACTAAGTGGCCTTCATGGGGGTGCTGGAGAATTGGCCAGGAGAGTAAAAAAAAAAGCTGAGGATGGAAGATTCAAAAGGGGAAGAATTAAGAGAAGTCCCCTTCCCCAAACCCACCCTTCTCTTCCAGCCTCAAGGGATCAGGACTCCAGCAAATCCAGCACTCGCTGGGTGCCTGCTTAAGGTCCTTGTACTGAGGGCTTCCTGGGGCAGGGTGCAGTCTTCCCTTCCTATATAGACAAAAATGATACAAATGGGTTGTGGAGGGGGGTCCCTGAAGAGTCATAGAAGCACTGCCTTCAAGACATAGTCCCTTCCCAGCACCACTTCCTCCACTGCTGTGCCCGGACTGGGCACAGAAGATGCCAGCCAGAATCATGGTTGTCAGGACAGGAGCACGTCCCTGGGGGTGGAGGGGCTGGTGTTTGGTCAGGGACCCAGATGTCCCATTCCCAGTGCAGCTCTGCACAGGGCCATGCCCTAAGGGGAAGCAGGCTAGGGTTAATCCGTGAAGGTCGGAGATTTGTTTTTCCGAATGACTCCCATCAGGGGAGCCCATTAGAGGCATGATGGGAATTGGCATTGGGCACCTGAGAGAATCCCCCATCTGTCTTCAAGGGCCTGATTGGCCTTTGCCTGGAGGGGCTACAAGTGTTTTCCCATTCTTTCTTCCTCTCTTTTGTGTATGTGTGTGTACCTGTATGTGCTCAGACACACACACTCACAGAGTTGCTGGGCAGAGCTAAGCACAGGGACAATTAATGCCAACAAGGAGAAGGTGTGAAGTAAGCTCCAGGGAACCAGCCTTGCCTGCCCACCCTACTGTTAGCGGACAGGGGAGGGGCCTGGTTATGTGAGACATGTGATATTGCTGAGGGCTAGGTAGGAAAGCAGGGAGTAGAGGCTGGAGACGTTAGCAGGACTTGAATCTTCCCCAGTGGGGTGCCATGAACAGTATCCTTGGGAGCAAGTGAATGCAGGGACCAGGTAGCCCAGTCAGGAGAATGGTCCTTAGTGTCTTGGGGGGAGAAGAGGAAGTGGGGCTGGGGCCCTGGAGAAGCCAGACATATCAGGATCCCCAAAGAGTAGACTTTGGATCCAGATGTCCATCAATTTGACCCATGGTTCCTGAGTGTCCAGTGGTTCCAGGCCTGAAATGGGTACCAAGGGGAGGATACAGAACTGACTAACAAAGGCCCTGCCCTCGGATTTCCTCCTTGAGGGGATGACAGATATAGAGAGCAACATGAGGCAATGCCCAGATAGTCTAGTGTGGGTGCTGGGCTAAGTGCTGCTGAGCCTGAAGGGAAAGAGGGTCGGGGGGGGGGGGCTTGACCTGAGGCTTGCAGGACAAGAGCTAAAGGTACTACCAGGATGAGGAACCCTTCTGAGGCTGTAAATATTAGCGGGGACCAATTTATCAACACCCAAATGTCAGGCTGAGGAATTTAAACGTGAACTTTTGGCAATGGGGAGCCATGGAATGACCCTTGGAAAGGAAACAAGGGACCAGACATCTAGCTCCCTTAGCTCTGGGACAGAAGTAAAGTGTATGAAGCTCAGACTACTGATTCCCAGTCACAGAATTCATTCATTCATTCATCAAATATTTATTGAGTGACAAATTTTGTGCCACATACTATACTAGGCACCAAGGATACAGCAAAGATTTTACAGAGATCCCTGCCTTCTAGAGCTTACAGTAAACAAAATAAATAAATTCTATATTAGCCAGTGTTAAGAATTATGCACTAAATAAAGTAGGAAGGGGATAGGGAGTGTTACAATTTTAAATAGGATGGTCAGAGGTGACATTTGAGCAAAGACTTAAAGGGGCTGAGGGAGCCATTTAGAGAGAAGACCTCAAAACCGAGGTTAGCTGGCTCATTTGAGGTGCAGTAAAGTGGTCAGTGTGGCTGCAGGAGAGAGAGGAGGGGGTGACGGCAGAGAGGCTAGAGAGGTCTTGCAGGCTATGGCAAGGATGTTGGCTTTTCATGAGTGATACGGGGTCCATTGGGACATTTTGAGCAGTAGAGGAACGTGATCCAACTTGTGTTTTGAGAAGATCACTTGGGCTATAGAGTGGAGAATAGACCGAAGAGAAGGCAGGGTGGGAGTGAAGCGGCTATTTAGGAAACTATTACTGCAGATCCGGGAGAAGATGATGGTAAAAGCAGCAAACATGGTGCCC